AAAAGAACCAGTCAGAAATTAAAAATACACTAAGTGAAAAGAAGAATACATTATAGGAAATTAACAGTGGGGTAGATGAAGCAGAGAATCAAATCAGAGACTTGGGAGATAAGGAAGCAGAAAACACCCAATCAGAACAGCAAAAAGAAAAAAGAATCCAAAAAATGGGGATAGTATAAGGACCTCTGAGACAATTTCAAGCACACCAACATTCACATCATGGGGTTGCTAGAAGGGAAAGAGAGAGAACAAGGAATTGAAAATCTTGTTAAAAAATGATGGAAAACTTTCCTAACTTGGTGAAGGAAATAGACATATTATACAAATCCTGGAAGCACGGAGCTTCCCAAACAAGATGAACTCAAAGAAGCCCACACCAAGACATATCATAATTAAAATGCCAAAGGTTAAAGACAAAGAAAGAAACTTATAAGCAGCAAGAGAAAAGCAGTTAGTTATCTACAAGGGAGCTCCCACAGGATTTTCAGCTGATTTCTCAACAGAAACTTGACAGACCAGAAGATATTAGCAAGAAATATTCAAAGTGATGAAAATCAATGATCTACAACCAAGACTACTCTACCCAGCAAAGCTATGATATAGAATAGAAGGACACATAAACAGCTTCCTAAACAAGAAAAAGCTAAAGGATTTATCATCACCAAACCAGTATTGCAAGATATGTTAAAGGGTCTTCTTTAAGAAGAAGAAGGGGGGAAAAGATATAAAAATATGAATAATAAAATGTCAATAAAGGTCCTTGCCAGGTAACTCAGTTGGTTAGAGCATTGTCCTGATTTGCCAAGGTTGTGGGTTTGATCCCTCGTCAGGGAACATACAAGAAGCAACCAACGAGTGCTTAAAGAAGTGGAACAAAAATTGATGTTTCTCTCTCTCTCTAAAAAAATCAATCAATAAAAAAATTTTTAACTGGTAATATATACATATCTATCAACAATCACTTGGATTGTTGATAGATAAATACAAATGGATTAAATGCTCCGATCAAAAGACATATGGAGGCTAAATGGATAGCAAACAAAACTCTCACATATGCTGTCTACAAGAGACTCTAGATCAAAAGACACAAACAGACTAAAAGTAAAGGAACAGAAAAAGATATTTTATAAAAATGGAAACAAGCAAATAAACAAAAGCTAGGGTAGTGATACTTACACCAGACAAAATAGACCTAAAAAAACCCCAAAATAAATGAACAAGCAGAACAGAAACAGACTCATAGATACTGAGAACATTTTGATGGTTGCCAGATGGGAGGTAGGTTAAGGAGCTGGGGAGAAAAAGATGCAGGGATTAAGAAGTACAAATTGGTAGTTACAGAATAGTCATGGGGATGTAAAGTACACCACAGGACATATAGTCAATGGTATTGTTAACAACTATGTATGGTGTCAGATAAGCACTAGAGTTATCAGAGAGATCACTTAGTAAATTATATACGCTCAAATCACTAGGTTGCACACCTGAAACTAATATATAATAATATTGTATGTCAACTATAATTGCAAAATAAAAATTATTTAAAGTAAAAAAACAATTAAACAAGAAAATCAGCATTAGTTGTCACAAGAGACCCAATTCGAAACTAGATATGATTAAAAGTAACAGTGCATGTTATTGCTTATTACAAACCATTGTCTGCAGAAGGGTTTGAGCTTTAGATTGTTCTTTCCTAATTAAGAAAACAAGTTAGTAACAGATGTGTAAGCATTAAAAATGATCAGGACCACACCTGCTGGATGTAATCAGAAAGCTAATAGAGAAGAGAGATGACAGTCACTTCCTCCTATGTGATGTGACTTTAAGGGCCACCTAAGTCAGTTGGGTCCCACTGTGAATATAAACTTAATTGCTTAAAAAAACATGAATTTATTATCTCACAAGTCAGAAGTCTCAAATCAGTTTCACTCAGTGTCGACAGGGCTGGTTCTTTCTGGAGGCTCTAGGGGTACGTACGCCTTTCCCAGCTTTCAGAGTCCACTTCCGTTCCTTGGCAGATGGCCCCTTGCTCCATCCTCAAAGCCGGCAGGCAGCACAGCATCTTCTCTCCTTTCTGACCCCCTGCCTGCCCGTGAGAAGGACTCAGTGATTACAAGGGGCTGATAATCCAGGATAATCTTCCCATCTCAAGATCCTTAATCACATCTGCCACGTAGGGAAACATATTCACAGCTTCTGTGGTTTAATCTGTAGACATCTTTGGGGCACCGTGAATCCATCTGCGCGACCCCCTCCCCAGTCTTGTCTTCCTTACATGGGTCCATTTGGGGAGGATATAAGTAATAGTTAAAAGTTAAACTCTAATGTCCTCATTGGTGTAAAGGAATTCAGATGTGTGTTTTGTTCCTTCCTTGTCAGATTTCCCTGTATTTCCTCTTTCTGTACTGGGTTTCCTCTCTCAAGTTGGTTTTGTAATACATTCCAGCCTTCAAGAAAGCCCAAGCTCATACTCTCACCGCTTCCTGACCACAACTCCCATTGGAGCTTCTGGAACAGCAGCCGCCCAGGACTGGAAGAGCTGGAGGAGGCCTTGTGCAAGCTCGCACCAGTGGCTGCGGAAGCAACGTCTCCGACAGGTGTCTGGAGTGCAGTAATTATAGAGTGTGTCTGCTTTAAGGAGCTGAGGTTTCTGACTCATTGCCTGTGGGGCAGGAGCTTTGATTGGTCTTTTTCTGTTCTGATCACTGCTTTTCTTGCTCCCACCCAAGGCCACAGCCCAGTACTTCTGTGACCAGCCAAACTCCTGCTCCTGGGAAGCAGGCCTCTGTATGATGTAAAATGCATGGGCCTCAGAACCAGATAGGCCTCAGCTCCAATCCGACTCTGCAATTAGGAGCCAAGAGGCTTAGGCAAGCTACTTATACCTCCTACAATCCCTAAAATTTGTGTCCTAATCTGCAAAACAGGGATAATGCTTAGCTCTGAAACTAGTCCATTCAGTCTTCCATTTACCCAATATCAACAGGATGGGGATGGAGAAGTGAGGGAGGGAGCAAAGGATTGAGGCCATGAATGTAAGCTATTACTGCAGACTTCCATCTGGGGCCATAAAATAGAGAAGGGAGTGTGTGTGTCTAACAATTGAACCATTTAGGGCACAGGTATAATACTTGTGAATGTGCAGGTTCTGGAACTGTTAAATCTCTAAGGTATGACCTGGAATCTGAATTTCATAAGCCTTTCAGTTTATTTTGATGATAACAAAAGTTTGCAAACCATCATTTCAAGGGACCAGACTTATGTACATAAATCAGATGGATTTGCATTTTACCTTTGGTGGTAAACCTGGAACAAAAAGTATTTTGTATCCAGACATGTATATGGATCTCTACTCCCACCTGCCAAAAAATGTGTATCCAAAAATTATCCTCTTTCCAATGTACTTGCTTTATGCACATTGGAAGCCCAAGTGGTCAGTGAATGAGCAAGCAATGTTACCGCCTTCTAGTGGTGGTGTGTGGCCACGCAGCAAAATAATATAAAAGCAAAGATTACATCCTGTCACATCCAATTTAGCCAAATTTCAACACAGCTGACAAAAGGTAATGTCGGTTTTTCCTTATTACATTTAAATTTATTACAACCAAAACATTTCTAGGTACCTATTTTCATTGTGCTCAATTTATTAATTTTTAGCCATGTGGTTTTTGTAATCTTGTTTTCAGTTACTATAATACTGTATTACTACATTGAGACAGGCTTACAGTTTGCAACTGGATGTCAGAGTAGAATTTACTATTCTTACCCGAGAAAAAGAATATAGTTTCAGTGCAAAAAGCACTTTGAAGTCATTTTAAATAACTGTATTATAAAAAGTGCTTGTAAATGTTTCTTTCAGTTTTTTCTTCCTTGTAAGAGCTCCATATTATGTACCAGGGTTTCTAAATTTTGGGCCAATTGACATTTGGGGCTAGATAATTCTCTGTCATGGGGCTATCCTGTGCATGTCAGGTATTTAGCAGCATTTCTGGTCTTCACCCAGGAGATGCCAGCAGTGCACACAACCCCCTGAATTTTGATAACCAAATATATCTCCAGATGTTGCTAAGTGTCCCCTGGAGAGAGAAGGCAAATGGCCCTCATTTGGGCACCACTGCTGGAGAGTTTTACAGACCAGGAAGTGTGGTGACTGGCAACCATCAGGGGGCTGTGAGGGTGCTGTTGGAAATTGCTAGTGAAGGTGTCTGGCCCCAAACATCTCATGCCTTTCAGAGGGAAACGGGGCAAAGCCAGTGACAGCCTACCCCACTGGGACCCCGGCATATCTCTGAATTCTCAGAACAGCACTGGATGTTCCTGGTCCGAAGCTTAAACTGTATGTCTGCTCAATATTTGTTATCAACAAAAAAAAGCAAGACCTGAGCAACCAAAAGGAAATTCTTCCCTTGTAGAAGGACAACACGGTAATTTCACCAGGGGGTTGGACACATGATGTTATAACAGGGTGCAGCCAAGGGGCCCCTCAAAGAGGGATTTGTAATGGGGTCCGGAACTCGGGGTGTCCAGAAAATATTGAAAACATAGGATGTCCTCACCCCTACAAGTCTAAGCTAGGGGATAGGACACAAGGAGCAGGGTCATTGAGAGTTGTTCTGTATAGCAGCAGTTTTGCAAATAACCTCAGGAATGGTCATTTAATATATCTATAACTTTTTTTTTTGTTTAGAAGAATTCTGTATTATATTAAGGGACAAACAAAAGCACAATATAGAGAAAAGTCAAACAAGTCACGTGGGGAAGTTGATCCCGGTTGACCCGAGTGCTCCGAGGTTTGTGGGGAGAAAACACAGGCTTCCCAGATCATCTCAGTCCCGGCGGGGTCTTCTACTCGGGGCCAGTGTTTTCTATACAAGTCATACCTCTCCTCCACTGGGACACTGAGCTTGTTTCCGAAGGACTCCAGAAAAACAGCACAGCTGCATTCAGATACTGCTTCTCGAGATGTGCCTCTTTCTTCAGCTTTGATAGTAGTTAATGTGCTAAATGTCTTGATAGAGAAGGTCACATTTGGGAATATTCTTGGGATCAATAGGACTTTGGACAATAAGTTTTTCTCTCATTGCTCCTCGATAAATTACTTCAATCAAATCTATGAAGTCTTGTTTGGTTTTGAAACTTCCCACAAACTTAGTGTGATCTGGAGACCCATAATCCACTTTCATATGTTGCCCATTGAAGAAAAACACGGTAGATGGAATATAACTGATGTCAAAGTAGTGTGTATAAACTGGAGTTTGGTCCACATCCACTAGATAAATAGCAGCCATTTTACTCAAGTCAGAGGAGGTCTTAGAAAGAATATCATCCAGTTGCAGACAGACGGGATCCTTGTCTCTCCCAAACCTGAGAACCAACACCTTCTCTGCAGTGCTCTTTATTGCCTGGTCGACTTCTTTTTTGCTGGTCAGTTTGGGCAATAGGAAGCTCATCTTGAAATAATCCAAATAGTAATCCCCCACTGTCAGTCTTAATTTGTACAAGTTGCCTCCCTCTTCAATTTAAGACTGTCGACAACTGCTATAACTTTTAACTGGTTTCATGGATATGTTAAAAAGCTGTGGCTTTGCCTTGAGCTAGGGAAATGGGAGTGGCTTTCACCCAGGATGTAACTGGGAGGCAACTCCCCTTGGTTACAGCACCTGTGTCAGAGCTTGGAGATGGTCTTTCCTCCATGCCACTGGGCCATGCCTGCCCAGATTTACTATGGCAGCCCAGAAAAGCTGGAAAAATATGGGAATGCTGGTTAGTGTAGCCTATGGGGGGAGGAATAAAAAATGGGGCTGCAGAGGGAGATTGGTGCTGGGACTTATTTATTTACTTACTTAAATTTTAAAAAATATATTTTATTGATTATGCTTGAATATTACAGTTGTCCCATTTTCCCCCCTTCACACCCCTCTGCCCTGCACACCCCCTCCCACCCACATTCCCCTCTTTAGTTCATGTTCATGGGTTGCACATATAAGTTCTTTGGCTTCCACATTTCCTATACTATTCTTGCCCTCCCCCTGTCTATTTTCTACCTTCCATCTATGCTACTTATTCTCTGTACCTTTTCCCCCTCTCTCCCCCTCCCACTCCTCAGTTGATAACCCTCCATGTGATCTCCATTTCTGTGGCTCTGTTCCTGTTGTAGTTGTTTGCTTAGTTTCCTTTTGTTTTTGTTTTAGGTGTGGTTGTTAATAATTGTGAGTTTGCTGTTATTTTACTGTTCATATTTTTATCTTCTTTTCCTTAAATAAGTCCCTTTGACATTTCATATAATAAGGGCTTGGTGATGATGAACTCCTTTAACTTGACCTTATCTGAGAAGCACTTAATCTGCCCTTCCATTCTAAATGAAAGCTTTGCTGGACAGAGCAATCTGGAATGTAAGTACTTGACTTTCATGACTTGGAATACTTCTTTCCAGCCCTTTCTTGCCTGTAAGGTCTCTTTTGAGAAATCAGCTGACAGTCTCATGAGAACTCCTTTGTAAGTAACTGTCTCTTTTTCTCTTGCTGTTTCTAGGATTCTCTCCTTAATTTTAATCTTGGCTAAGGTAATTATGATGTGTCTTGGTGTGCTCCTCCTTGGATCCAACTTCTTTGGAACTCTGAGCTTCCTGGACTTCCTGGAAGTCTATTTCCTTTGCCAGATTGGGGAAGTTCTCCTTTATTATTTGTTCAAGTAACTTTTCCTCTTGTTGTTCTTCCTCTTCTCCTTCTGGCACCCCTATGATTCAGATGTTGGAACATTTAAAGATATCCAGGGGGTTCCTAAGCCTCTCCTCATTTTTTTGAATTCTTCTTTCTTCATTCTTTTCTGGTTGGATGTTTCTTTCTTTTTCTGGTCCACACTGTTGATTTGAGTCCCAGTTTCCTTCCCATCACTATTGGTTCTCTGTACATTTTCCTTTATTTCACTTAGCATAACCTTCATTTTTTCCATATAATTTGCGAACAAATTCAACCAGTTCTGTGAGCATCCTGATTACCAGTGTTTTGAATTGTGCATCTGATAGGTTGGCTATCTCTTTGTCACTTGGTAGCATTTTTTCTGGAGCTTTGATCTGTTCTTTCATTTGGGCTATTTTTTTTTGTCTTGACATGCCTGTTATGAGGGGCAGAGCCTTAGGTATTCACCTGGATGGGGTAACCCAAATTGCTGTGCTGTGGTGCTGTATGTGGGGGAGGGGTCTGAGAGGGAACAATGGCGCTTGCTTCACTGTCTGCCGCTTTCAGTCACTTCCCCTGCTTCCCACAAGCAAATTGGGCCCTTCTGGTGCTGATTCCCTGCGGGTGGGTTTGTGTATGTTCTAGGGGCCTGTGGGTTTCTCCAACGAACTCTCCTGTGAGGCTGGGAGTTTCTCCTGCTGCCTCCTTAACCCCCACAGGGGTTTTCAATCAGAGGTTTGAGGCTTTATTTCTCCAAGCTGGGGCCCTGGGTTGCACAGACTATCCAGCTCCCCAGTTGTTCCTCCTGGTTATCTACACACAAATATGGGACTGCCCGCTCCACTTGCCGTCACCTCGATGGGTCCCCCAGCCACCGCATTGCCGAGAGTCCTCTCTGCCCAGCTGCCTGTTTCTGCCCCTCCTACAAGTCTGGATGAACGTGTCTATTTTAACTCCTTGGTTGTCAGACTTCCTTACAGTTCAATTTTCTGTTGGTTCTGGTTGTTTTTGGTTTTTAAATTGTTGTCCTTCTTTTGGTTGTGTGAAGAGGCACAGTGTGCCTACCTATGTCTCCATCTTGGCTGGAACTCTTTATTTAAATTTTAAAGATTTTATTTATTTTTAGAGAGAGAAGAAGGGAGGGAGAAAGAGAGGGAGAGAAACAACAGTGTGTGATTGCCTCTCATGTGGCCCCCACTGGGGACCTGGCTTGCAACCCAGGCATGTGATCTGCCTGGGAATTGAACTAGCGACCCTTTGGCTTACAGCCCACACTCAATCCACTGAGCTATACCAGCCAGGGCTGGCACTGAGATTTAAACCCAGACACAGAAGCCATGAGGGTCAGAACCACATGACTTTGGGTCTCCCTTTGCCACTCAGTTTAGGAATTTGGAAAGCGAGATGTGGCAGTGATACAGAGCTCTCTCTTAGCATTTTGGAAGAATACAGGAGAGACACTGCAGGAAGGACAGGGGTGAAAGGCCTCTTGCTGGTGGGCCATGAGAAGGTGACATGTGGTTTGGGATTAAGAACTGGAGATCCTGGTGACACAGCTGGTGGTGCTGGGAACCGAGGGAGGCCTGCCAGTGGAGCACAGATTAGTGGGAAGAACCAGGGGCTACCTGAGCCACGGACTTCTATTTCTTGTCCTGAGGTACGGTACCACAGACCAGGCAAAGCAGGAAAAGGAAGGACATTTGTGGGTGGTTTAAGGGACTTTAGGATTTCAATGAAGACATTAAGTCATTACTCTTAAGTCTATATAACTTCTGAATAAATAATTCCTTTCCTTTTCACCAGTCTCTAACATGGAGAGCTGTAATTACCTGGCGGCGGGCAAGGCAAATTAGGAGCAAGGCGAACCTAGGACCTAGTGGGTCCTAGTCCTAAAACCAAACCCCAAAGGGGGAGTCCATTCAGTAACATTGTGCGCCCCCTTTCCTGGTGGCCAATCAGGGAAAATCATGGAAGACCACATGGGCAGTAGCTTTAAAGTAATACAACTGCTTGCACATGCACAATAAAAGCCTGCCAAAACTAGCCAGGAAGGATCCACCCTATAAGAACAGAGTCCCTCCAGCCCATGAGGTCAATCTCTGCTTGGAGTTGGCCTGCTCCCATGTTCTCTGCTATACACTCTGTGTGTTCGTTCAATTCTTTGTCCCGATCACCAAGAACCTGGTTACCTGTGCCCACCTGCGACAATGTGACCCTGGCACAGGTTACCTTAAACATATAAAATTTTTTGTTTTTTAATCAGGAGGGAAGTTAAACTGCTGTGACATGCCACCACCTTGTGCAGAAAGGAATGGCAGTGAGGAAGCGTGCTGATGGAGAAACGAGAGCCCAGCCAGAAGAGCATTCACATTCCTGGTCGCACCTTGAGTTGATGACGGGGAGTGTAGCTTACGTGGTTGGGGTGTTGTCCCGATACGCCAAGGGTGAGGGTTCAGTTTCCAGTCAGGGTAAACATGAGATTCAACTGGTGAATGCATACATAAGCGGAAAAACAAATTGATGTTTCTCTCTCTCTCCCTCCCTCTCTCTCTTAAAAAATAAAAAAGAAAAGAATCGATTAAAAAACAAAACATAAGACCACCACCACACCTCTGTCCTCTTAGCTGTGTTTGGGTTTGTGTTTTCCTGGAGCTTGCTTTTCCTCTTTGTCATCTTACAGAAAAGCTTTTTGTTTTGATAAGGGGGACCCTGAGAGCCCCTCAGACCTTCTCAGAATAAGCTGTGATATCCAGATGGTGAGGAGACATTGACCCTGCTGAGCTGGCTGCCTACATTCAAATCCGGTCCCAGCAGTTCCCTGCTGTGTGATTTTGGGCAAATTGCTTGATGTCTCTGGGCCTCTGCTTCCTGGAAAATGAGAATAATCATGGCAAAAATGGCAAGAGGCATACAGTCAGTGCTCATTGAGGGTGACTAATCCCTTATTGTTGTCAAGTCACTGGGCCAAAGCCACCTACCAAGTATGTGGAAGATGCAGGGCTTGAAATTAGATTTTCTGACTCCAAATCTTGGGTTCTCAACCTCACTACATGCTAGAACTGTAACAGTGGAAAATTGTAACGGGGAATTGTAACCCACCCCACCATTCTTTTGACATTGTTCCTGTAAGTGCTGACTCTAATATGTAGCTTGTGGATGAACAGCATGTTTGTATAAGAATCCTAGGAACTAACTTCAAAAGATACAGACCCTGACCTTCAGACGTCGCAGCTCTGGGAGATTTGCTGACCTTCAACAGTGAAAAGCTGGGATGAAGTGTGTAGGGAGTAGGGAAAAACTTAGACCATGAGAAAATAGGAACCTAGCTAGCTAGAGCCAGGAGATTACTAGGTTACTGAACAAACATCCTGCCTTCCCACCTTGTACAAGAATGCTTGGTTTGAAATCCCCGCGCGCGGTCTTTGTAAGCGAATTGCTAACTGCCATGTCTGCTTCTGTATAACGCTTGCTTGCCCGCCCCTATATAAGGACGTAGTTGTTAGCGCTCTGCGCAGCTCTCGTTTGCAGCTCCTTGTGGGCACTGTGTCGCTGGACACTTTCAGAGTTCGCCCCTGCGCAGGTTAAACTAGGCCAATAAAGTAACATCTTTGATACCCTGAAAGTCTCCGATATTTGTTCTCGTGTTTGCTGGATGTTACAAAGTGAAGCTGGGACGACTAAAGCAGGATGAGGCACACCAGACCATCTCTTACCTTGTCAGAAAGGGCTCTGCTCAGCTGTACAAAGGGAACTTTGCAAGCCCCTCCCTTGAGCTCTTTGTTCTGTTCCCCTCCCCACCTTATAAAAACCTCTGCCTCCACTGAGATAGGGAGATGGTCTTTGAGACAGGAGACCC